CAGTTAGTTAATATTGTGCATTATGGTCTGTGTCTAGTTGTCCCCCCAATGCCTCATGCAGTCATGGGGCAGGGACCTCTAGAGTTTGAGATTAATTCATGATCAAGGCTGGGATTGTGGGTCTTAGTACTGCTGAGATTATGAACGTGAATACTACTCCCAGCCTGGGGCATATAGCGTGAGTGCAACTTAAGGGAGATACACTTCGTCTCTGTAGCCACTGCGGCTGCTGCTTCTCCCGTTTGCTCTTGCTCTTTGCCGCCGCCATGAACGGCTGCCCTCTGCCATGTGCCGCTCTGCCCTGGTGTCAGCTGAGTGTGGTCTGAAACCTCCAGTGACTGTGAGCTAAACCCTTCATTTTGAGTGTTCAGTGTTTGTCCCAAAAATGAGAGAAGAGTAACTGAGATATACATAAAATATATGTGTATATAAAATATATATGTGTATATGTATAAAAATAAGGTATATGATATCTGGCTGTTTTTCAAAAGGAGAGCCACTGTTAAGGATAATGTGAAACAGTTCATCTGCATGAGCTTTTTTTTTTTTTTTTTTTTTTTTTTTAGAGAGGGGTCTAGAGCGTATTCAGGCTCTCACTACTAGGTGGGACTCGTAGTGATCCGCTGTTTACAGCCTCCCAAGAGCTGGGATTACAGGTGCCCACCACTAGCCACTATGCCCAGTCGCAATTGCCATTTTAGTGCACCCTGCGGGCAGGGCCAGCACAGCAGGCCCCAGGATGGAATCCCCAACCCCTGAGCCTACTTGTAGGCACTTTAATCCACTGAGCTATTTAGCCAGCCCTAATTTTTTCAGGCTGGCTACAACAGTGGCTTGACTAGATTCTCCTCTTGGGCCTTCACTGCTTCTTATTTTCTTTTAAAATAAAACTTAGAATTCATCAACAAGATGAAGCAAAAGTCCCCAGAAGGTGCGCGGTGAGTGACAGGAACTCACCTGCCAACCTGCCATGTAATTCCAAGGCTTTGAAGAGATGCCATGCCAAAGCCTGTTGCTCTGGCAATATTCTAGCTTTTAAGATGTCACTGAAAGAAAGACAGCTCTTAAGCTCTTATGCAAAGGATTCAGCAACACTGAATTGTTTAGATCTACATTAAGCCATTGTAGAAATGCGTCTGAAGCACAAGACAATAACGAAGCGCAGCTCACACTCAGTATGACAACTGTGGTACCTCCTAATTCCCACAGCATCGGAATCACTCAGGCCTAGCCAGGCCTGGGGGTACAGAGCTGTGAGCCCCAGCACTCTGCAGACAAGAGGCAGAAGCACTGCAAACGGAAGCCCACCTCAGGCAACTTAGAGATGTAGCAAGGTACTGTCACAAAAATAATAATAAAAACAAGATCAAAAGGGCTGGAGATGTAGCTCAGTGTGAAGGCCCTTGGTTCAAGCTCAGTAGCAGAAAGACAGGGTGTGGGAGGAGTGAGGCGGAGTGAGGGAAGGAAAAGAAAAGTACAAAAGCAACATGTAATACGCAAGACCAAACATTTGAAATGAATGTTTCAGAGGCTAGCCACAGAGCTGAGGAAAAGTGTGTTGATAGGATTGGAATCACAGAAAGGAAGAGCTGCGGAGACAATGCGGGAACACGCTTGAGAGTTCTAAATGTGTACCGTTCTTAACGCCATAGCAGTTATTACTATACTCTCTTTAATTTTTTAAAAAGGTACAAAAAGAAAAAAAAAGACAGGAACAAAAATGTAAGGTTTCTTGAAAGCAAGCGGTAATATTCAATCATATATCCAGTCTTACAGAACTATATCTGTTAATCTGAGCAACAGATTTGACAATAAAAATAGGTATCAACTATTGTTAATCAGCTATTCTTGTTTTGAAAATCTGTAACATATGTATTGTTGCATGTTACCCTGTTTCTGTCTTTGTTTCTGATTTTTGTTCTGCTTTTTGTTTTTACTCTTCAAAATAAAATAAAATAAAAAAAGGAGTGAGAACTGTTACCCAGAGATGTGAGGATTGCCCAGATGCCCTATGCTCACTGAGGAAGATCTCTACAATGAAGTGGAGCCAAGTGGACCAAAGCTGTCTTAGAAGGGTGCCATTGTACATACTCCACTTATGTAATATTATTCTTCTGAGAACAAGTCCGCCAAACAGACCTGCTCCCCGTTGTCCTCCAGTGCACGTCTGTGTCCCGTGGGATCCTGGCACGTTGCTGCTGCCGGATGTCCTCCTTACATGAACGGCTCTGTTTATATTTATTAGTACTTCATGTTTGCTGCCAATAATAATTGCACTCATCACTCAGAGTTGGTACCTGTGCGCGGCACCTCTTCATTCTTTTTAATTCCTTTTCCCTTCCCTCTTTCCCCTAGCTCTAGAATCCCTTTCCACTGGAAAAATTCATATCACCATTTCATATTATCTATTAGTTTGCTTCTTAAATTATTTATACTTT